TGGGATTGACCGTCACATTATAACGCCTAACCACCTGGCCATGCCTGGCCTATTTTTATGGTTAAAAAATATACAAATAACTAAGTTCACAGGATTTGGCCAGTGCACCTAGAGCAAGCATTTTGGGCTTGTTTACTCTGGTTATCATACCTAGAGGTCAACGTGCCGGACTGTGGATTTGCGGTTCCAAGTTCCAAAACAAAACAATAACAACAACAATAAAAAAAAAAAAACGACGCTCCGCACTTTCGGGCATTAGGTGCGTTATAAGAGTGAGGTAAAATCCCACTATTCGGTCAGAAAGAGTTGGCAGTGGGTGCTGTTGACAAACCGCCATTTCTCTAGTCTATGAATTCAAAATTATGGACGGCTAGCTCGAATAGTCCTTGGGTAGCTTTGCTTGAATATTTAAAAGCAAAAGAAAAACCTCGTTATTCTCAGATGATGATCGTGAAAGCTTTCAAATTGAATTGTGTTCACAGTCTGTAGATCAGGTAAGAAGGCGTTCGTTGTATAAATATTCTCCCTGTTTATAAAACTGGCGCGAAATGTCTAACAATATGTGTGTGAATCGCAATCGGTAATCTATCAATATAACGAAGGAAGTGTATTCTATACGGTGCTCTCGTATATATATCATTGTATCTTGATTTTAATTATATTATTGATGAGTCAGATCAATATTACGATTTAACAATAACTTTTCGTAAAACAAAAAATTAAGAACAGACTAATAACCAACATTACCAATAGTTGATTAAGATATTTGACGGCGCAGGGAAAATCTGTTAAGGCTAAGCTACATAGTGACTCCTTACAATTAGATTACAAAACCTGTTTCTATGGGATATGGCGATTACAAAATTAGATTAAATAAACCTGTTTCTATGGGATATGGCGATTACAAAATTAGATTAAATAAACCTGTTTCTATGGGATATGGTGATTAAAAAATTAGATTACCAACCCTGTTTCTATGGAATATGGTGATTACAAAATTAGATTAAATGAATCTGTTTCTATGGGATATGGCGATTACAAAAGTAGATTAACAAAACCTGTTTCTATGGGATATGGTGATTACAAAATTAGATTAAATAAACCTGTTTCTATGGAATATGGTGATTACAAAATTAGATTAAATAAACCTGTTTCTATGGGATATGGTGATTACAAAATTAGATTAAATAAATCTGTTTCTATGGAATATGGTGATTACAAAATTAGATTAAATAAACCTGTTTCTATGGGATATGGTGATTACAAAATTAGATTAAATAAACCTGTTTCTATGGGATATGGCGATTACAAAATTAGATTAAATGAATCTGTTTCTATGGAATATGGTGATTACAAAATTAGATTAACAAAACCTGTTTCTATGGGATATGGTGATTACAAAATTAGATTAACAAAACCTGTTTCTATGGGATATGGCGTTTACAAAATTAGATTACCAACCCTGTTTCTATGGAATATGGTGATTACAAAATTAGATTAAATAAACCTGTTTCTATGGGATATGGTGATTACAAAATTAGATTAAATAAACCTGTTTCTATGGGATATGGTGATTACAAAATTAGATTAAATAAATCTGTTTCTATGGGATATGGCGATTACAAAATTAGATTAAATGAATCTGTTTCTATGGAATATGGTGATTACAAAATTAGATTAAATAAACCTGTTTCTATGGGATATAGCGATTACAAAATTACAAAATTCGATTTATAAAACATGTTTCTTAACTGAACATGCATCAGATATTTTAATTTAAAGTAAAAATAACGTTTTTCTCGTTTGTTAGTTAATTTTATTCGAAGCTCTCTCTCACACACACATTCAGATCAGACACTAGTTTTCTGTGACCCTAGAGCAGAGACTTATAATTGGGCCTTCTAAATCTTAGTTTACTTTTTAGTTTTATAGTAAATATAAAAAGGACCTTTAAAACCTTTTTGGGGTCCCTTGTACAGTACACCTTTTGTAACCCCATTCATTCTAGCATCGGTACTGCACATACACACACATACATAGGCACGCACACATTTGTTACCTTTGTCAACTTATTGGTTGTCGAGTCAGATTTGTAAGGAAATTGCTCAAGTGATAGGGTATGGGGTGATAAGTATACGATTCTACATTCAGGTGTAGGTGGACAAAGGAACTCAGTCTTTTCAGCTTTGTTAAATTAGATAAAATAGGATACTCAGATAGTGGCGTAAAGAAATTACCCGTTTCTCTTCGGGTATTTTAAATAATTGGTCAACAAATGTTCTCAAATATTTTAATGTACGTTTTTTTTTTAACTCGGCAACTATGTTTATTTGCTGTTTTATTTGATCTTCTTTTCTTGGCTACGTTCCCAATTGTATTCCGAATTAAATAAAAACAAAGAAAACAACATCTGCTTATAGTATTTCCAGTCCAGTGAGCATCAATCGGGTTTGTGCACACAATCTCGGGTTGGGTTAGGAATCTCTGTCCGACCACTGTGATTGGTTGGTTTCACAACCGTCTCAACGCGCATGTCTGTGCGGAGGTGTCCGATACGAAAGGACAGAGGCTTTTCACAGTTAGTAGAAGTTGTTTCATAAGTTTTGGATCCCGGATTATTTTGCTGTTTCTAATAAAGGTGAGTTTTATTTATTTTATAATTATTGACAATTTTAGATAATTGAAGTCTACTCAACAGAACCAAATCATTCATAAAGAAGCAAACGAATGTTTGTTTGATAAACGAACACTTGTTAATAAGCAACTTCAGAGGCCCAGCGGACGTTGCACCTGGCAAATATTATAACTAGGTAGGAACCATGACACAAGGCCTCATTCGATGGTTTGTATCTCGAGCACGGCTGGATCAGCGAGGCTGTGCTTGTACATAAATTATTTCTGCAATTTTGACGGCGGAAATTTTAATGTTTGATCGAAACTGTGTGATGCAATTCAAAGCTGAACTTATCTCCAGTTGCTTTCTTACGAATTGGCTGTTTTTATTCTCTTTTATAAGTTATACAGTTGTCAAAAGGCATTTTATCTGCATTGGTTTGCCTGCTTTATGATGTTTTGGTCATTATGCTTAGGCCTTTATTCGGAATGTTTGTTTTAGTGTCGTGTATGAAAATGCTTAGCATTATATACATATATAAATTTGTTCAGCACTATGTATATGTAATATACATCCATTGGGTTAACAATATGCTTTCATCATGTTGTGCTTGTATAAATACATATACATTGATATTGAACGTCTCTAAGGGATATGAATAAATTTACAATACCGAGCATGGCCTAGTATTTAGCTTGCTTAAATTGTGAATCTGAAGGTTCGTGGTTTGCGGTCCGTTTCCACAGAAATGCGCCCCGCGCTTTGGGGTCGTGAGTACCATAATAGTGACGGCTAAATCCCACAAGATAAATTTGAAAATATTAAATTGTAATAATAATAAAAACAATTAGATGGCTATGAAAAAAAAGAAGACGTAAACTAGAATTTAATTACAGAAAAAATTGAGATTTTACTTCTGGAGTGAAAAATTAAATAAACTTGATAGAATTTCGCAATACAGCATTTTTTAATAAGCTGTTAAATTTAGTTATAAATAGCTAAAAATGAGCCTGCAATTCCTTTGTGTTAAAGGTGAATATTGAAAACACGACCTAAAGATGCTTTACAGATTTATATTTACTGTAACTGCGGGTTCTTGTATAATAAATTACAAATATATCCAAATTTGTATCATCATGGTTCGTATGGTGTCAGATAAGAAGTGTGTAATTTATAAGTCAGTCCCGTTTATACATTGTGTCTCGTGTTGTATCTTCTTGTCA